AAAAAAAAAAAAAAAAAAAAAAAAAAGGCTGCTTAAATATCCTTGTGGTATTGTGGCTGGATTTCCCCAGAGGGAGTGATCCAAGAGAGCAAGGCAGAAGTCATACTTTATGACTAAGCCCAGAAGTTACTATCTTGTTTGCAATATTCTATTGATTACCTAGAAGAACCCTATGTACTGTGGGAAGGGGCTGTACAACAGGATCAATACTAGGAAGGGGACTTTCATTGGAAGTCATTTTGGAGCCTGGCTACCACACACAGAGATACAGTTAATTCTCCAGTAATCTCCTCAGGTAGACACTCTTAGCAGGTTTATCCTGAGGAGGACATAGAGGGATAGCAACATGAAGTAACTTGCTCAGCCTCAGAGCCTGGTAAGTGTAAATCTGGAACTCAGACTCAGGCAGGCAGACTCCAGAGCTGAGTCTAAGCTACTGTGAAGGCCACAAAGGCTTTCTGGTCCATTGTGAGCTTGAAGGGATATGATAGTTCTTCCATTCTGGGAAAAACAAGTACGTATAAGGTAGTGGGCAGCGGTTCTCAAGGTGAGTGAGGTTTTATTCCTGTCTGGCATCGCGCACCTACACTTGTTTCCAAGCCTGATCAGGTCTTCTCCTAAGACTTTCACAATCAAGCAGTTCCTGGCCCAGAAGCAGAAGCAGAATTGCCCCATTTCTCAAAGGATTTGGATGAAGACCGGTAATAAAATCAGGTACAACTCCAAGGGGAGGCACTGGAAGAGGACCAAGCTGGGACTGTAAGGATTTGCACCTGAGCTACAGCATATTTATTTATTCTTTCAGAGGTCACAAGATGATACCTTTTTTATCATGGTCAGGATTACATCACTATATCAAGCTTAAAAAATTCCATTGGCTGCGCAGTTGCATGGGTTTAACTGGGAATCTTATTTTTCTGTGATTAGCACTAGTGAACCAGCAATAAATGTTTTGATTTGTTCTGGTTTGGTTTTGGTTTTTTGAGACGGGGCCCCCTAAGCAATTCAGGCTGGCCTTGACCTCACTATATAGGCCAGGCTGGCCTCGAACTCACAGTGATCCTCCAGCCCCAGCCTCCCAAGTGCTGGGATTACAGGCATGTGCCACTATACCCAGCAAACAATGAATGCTTGAAACCTTTAAAAATAAATAAATAAAATACAAGAAAAGTGAGTGAGGCAAATGCGCTTTGGAAAAGGAAGTGGTCTCAGGGCTCTGGGTGGTATAAGGAGGACGAAACAGGAAGATTTTACTTAAGGGTCTGGGGAGAGCCGCCCATGTGGGGCCAACAAGTGCCAAAACTGAAAGAGGGGCAGGGATGGGCTTCCAAGAATACTTAACGATGAGGTTTAGAAATTCCCATCCCCACCACTTCCAGCAAGTGAGCCCTTGATTTAAAAAAAAAAACAACTCCTTTCTTTCCACACACCCAGATGCCTTTTCATCTCATTCATGTGCTCAACAAAAGTCACTGCGCACTTATCAGAGCCAGGCACCAGCCTGGGCATGGGAGCCATAGTAAGGCCCAGGCCAGATGAAGTCCTTATTTTCCTGGAACTGAGAGTCTATCAGGGGAGACAGACAAGTTACTGACAAACTCTACCCAAGCAATGATATAATGACAGGAAAGCACAGGGTCCTGGGGATGCAGAAGAGATGGAAGATGTTAGGGATAGGCTTCTTGCACTTGGCAAGGCCTGACAAGAGCAGGCAATGTTGAAAACCTTTTTCAAGCAGAGGGAATGGCTGTGCAGAGAGGTTCAGGGGAGAACGAGCCAGAACCTTGTGGTACGCGATTGCAAGGCTGTTGTGGATACAGAGGGGGAGGAAAACCCAAGGATTTCAGGGAATAAGGCACTAATGAGGTTCCTGATTGGAGCAGAGTCTTGTGAACTGGCCTTACTCCAGCTTCGAGCTGAGCCCCACCCCAATCCAAGGTGTGTGTGGGGAGACATTTGCTTATCTTCTTGGATCTCTGCCCTTTGGAGGAGGACTTGGCCCTGCAGATGTGAATGTGCTCATCCTTCAGGATGGGTGAGACTGCAGGGCAGGGAGAGGCTGAGGGAAGACACCAGAGCAGGTGGCACCTAATCTGGGCTTCCCTTTCTAAATGTTAACTTCCCAACCTAAAAGGGTTTATAGGATGGTGAGGTTGTATGCCCTCAACATCCACTCTCCTTTGTGAGCAAATATGGGGAAGGTAGAAGGTAGAATAAACTCTAAGTCCAAAAAGAAGAAATAAATAGCGAGAAAGAGCCAGGCATGGTGGTACACGCCTGTAATCCCAGCACTCGGGAAGCTGAGGCAGGAGTTCGAGACCCACCTGGGCTATAAAGTGAGCTCAAGGCTAGCCTGAATTGCATAGTGAGACCCTGTCTCAAAAAGACAAAACAAAACAAAACAAAACAAAAAAATAGGGAGAAGAAAAAAAATTTTTTTGTAATAATGATCACATTCATCACAGAGAATTTGTACCTGTCCATGATATAACTTGATTCTTTTTTTCCCATTCCCCTCCTCTCCCTTCAACCCTTCCCCCTTTACAAAAGATTTGTTTCCAGTTTTTTCCTTCTTTTCCTCTCTTTTTTATTTTTCCCTTCTTTCCTTTCCCCCTCCCCCTCCCTTGTTCCCCTTCCTATTTCACAGTACCTACTGTGCATTTTGAGAGGGTACAGGGTATCAAACTCAGGACCTTACACTTGCCAGGCAGGCACTTGTGCCGCTGAGCTATATCTCCAGCCCCCTATCATGCATTTTGGTCCTTATTTACCCTTTTGGCTTCTCATACCAAAGAAACAATGCGGCATTTATACCTGTGTGTCTGATTTATTTCACTTAAGAGTATGGTCTCAGGGTGCATCCATTTACCTAGAAATGTCTCAAGTGTCTCTGAGAAGAGTCAAAGTTAATTTTCATATTTTAATTTTTTATTTTTTTGGTACCAGGAATCGAACTCAGGACCCTATGCTTGCAAGGCAGGTGTTGTGCCACTGAGCTATCTCCCCGGCCTGAAGAGTCAAAATTTTAAGGCTTCTGATTCCCTGGAATTCTGCCCAACCCCCAGCCGAAGACAGAGGTGGAATTAAGCCTCTGCTTCTGATTTCCTGCTGAGACAGAGTGTAGAGGACTGAGACCACAAGTCCAGGCTGCATGTGCCCCCAGTCCCCAGCCTCCTCTCCATCTGTGATGCTGTGATATAATAAGAAATGTATATTTGGTCTCTGTCCCAGTTCCTGTCACAGAGCTCCTAAAATCCCTCAGAATCTCTGGAGTGATAGTGGTGCCGGGAACATCTGTTGTTATTTGTAATAAGCCCCTTCAGCCATACCTGAGTTTATGCTGACGAGAAGACACAAACAATGGGGTCTTTCACCAAGGGGACTTTCAGTGTCATTCCCCAGTGTCTTGGGAGGGGAGCGTGGCTGGAGATTGAGTTCAATTACCAATAGCCAGTGATTTTTTTTCCCCAGTACTGGGGATTGAATAAAGGGCTTTGTACATGCTATGCAAGTGCTCTGTCCCTGAGCTATAGCCCTACCCCTTTTTATCTTTTTTTTTTCTTTTTGAGTCAGGGTCTCACTTACACTTCAGGCTGGCCTTGAACTTGCTTTGTAGCCCAGGCTGGTCTTGAACTTGAAATGATCCTCCTGCCTCAGCCTCCCAAGTGCTGGGATTACAGATGTGCGCCACCATGCCTGGCTACTTTTGAGTTTATGCTGATGAGGAGACACCAACAATGGGGTCTTGAGACAGGAACTCAATAAGTTGTCCAGGCTGGCCTTGAACTTGTGATCCTCCAAAGTAACTGGGATTACAAGTATGCACTACTGCGCCAAGCTATGGTCAGTGATTTAAATAATCATGGATATATAATGGAAGCACAATATGAACCCTACACAGTGGGGTTCAGAGAGTTTGGGGGTTGGTAAGTACATAGGGGTACTGGTTTCTTGCCTAGAAAAGGTATAGAAGCTGTCCACCCTTCCCCATCTTATCTTATGCATCACTTCCATTTGGCTGTTCATTTGTAATATCCTTTATTTTTTAAATTAATTAATTAAAGTATATCTTTGATACAGGATCTTGCTATGTTATCCATGCTGGACTCAAACTCCTGGGCTCAAGCAATCCTCCTGCCTCAGCCTCCTGAGTGGCTAGGATTATAGTGCATACCATAGTACCTGGCTTCTAAGATCTTTTATGTGAACCATTCTAGCAAATAATCAAACCCAAAGTGAGGTCATGAGAGCCCCTGATTTATAGCTGGGCAGTATGAAGTACAGGAAGCCCAGATTTTCAACAGCATCTGAAGTGGGAGGCAGTTTGTGGGAATAAACCTTTAACCTGTGAAGTCTGCACTAAGTCCGGGTAGTTAGTACCAGAAGTGAATTATGTTATAGAACACCCTATTGGTATCTGCAGAGAAAATTATTTGGAGGATACTATATATTTGGTTGTCAGCAGTGGCATGTAAAAGTATAGGAAAACTTTTTTGTTGTTGTTTTTGGTGCTGGGGGTGGAGCACACAATGCTAAGCAAGTGTTCTACCTCTGAGCTACACCCTCAGCCCATATTTGGTCTTTTAGCGTTCTAGGAGCGAGGTCTAGGCAGGGTGTAGTGGATTGACAACTGGTGATCAACTCCTAGCTGAACTGAATAAGTGTGGTGCTGGGTGTGGGAGCCGACCTGAGAATTGTTGCCAGCAGCATAAGAGGCAGAACTGGAGAAGAAGTTAGGCTGTTGGGAGCTGGTAGAAGCCTAAAGGAGCTGTTGGTTCTTTTGGAGGAGATCATCATGCTGGCTTTCCTGATGAACTTGGCTATTTTCATCCTCCAAAGAGCTTGGGACTTTGTTGGCACTGAGAATAGCTTCGGTTCACTTTAGGGGAGCTCTGGTCCTCACTCTGAGCATCGCTTCTTGGCTCCTGAGGGGAAGATGGTGCCCTGCTTAGTCTCCTGGAGAAGCTTGTCACTTTGACTTTCCTGATGAGAACTTGGCTATCCTCAATGGAGGAGGAGCTCGGAACCTCACTATTGCTGAGGATGGCTGTGGTACCTTTCAAGGGAGCTATGTTTCTTACTTTGCGCATCTCTTCCTGGCTCCAGTGTAGGTCCCTCAACCTGCTAGCACAGATCCCTGCTGGGACAGACTTCCTAGATTCTACCACTGACCTTTGGGCCTTCCAGCGCAGATCCATGAAATAGGCCCACATGAGACATTGTTATGAGCTCTAGGCCTCCAGGTGGACTCGTGGGAGGCACTGTTATGGGCTCTAGGTCTTCAGCTGGACTCATGCAGAACATTATTGCGGGATCCAGGACCTCAGCTGGATTCTTGGTCTATACTGTGTGGACAGATTTCCTGCACTCTTTTGTATATGATACTTTGGGTGACTATTATAAATAATCTTATAATCAAGTGTCCTGTATTATATTGTTCCCCTTGCAATATCCCCCAAACCATAACTCAGGGCCAGGTTTGTTCTCCTGAGCCAATGGGAAGAGGCTCCTCACAATGTTCCTGGCTTCTTCTCGTGCCTTTTCCAAGCCCCTTCCCACCGCAGCCTGGCGCTGCCACTCAAACCACTCTCCAGCCCCCGCCCCCAGCAGCTCCAGTCCCCTGCCCTGTTCTGCAGGTTTCTGGACTGGAGATCCTCAGTGCAGGAGAAGCTCAGTGAAGGTTGCTGGGGGGAGTCAATGCCTAGTCTGGCTTCGGCCCCTGGCTGCAGGTGCCTTTGTATGTCCCCAAGGGACCCACCTTCATGTGGCGGTTCATTCAGTTCCCAGAGGACACATAGTACACCCCGATCCAGACACTGGGTGTTCAGAGGAAATCCAGGTTCCACACAGTTCTCCCAGATGAAGCTGATGGAGCCACTGTGCCTCCCACAGAGAACTTGGACACCACTTGTTCTGTCCCTTCAGCCTGGGATGCCTTATCCACGTCCAGCTGTCCTCCAGGGCAAGTGCTACATCTGTCACGAAGTCTTCCTTCACAGTGTCACCCAGTCCACTAAGAACGTTCACTCATTTCTCTGCATTCCCTAAGGCCCTTTCAGTGCCTCCTTATGAGACCTTCTGCACCCATCATTCATGCATGCTGACAGCCTCCACTTTCGGCCGGTGTGGGAACTGCACTGAGACTCCTACAATGATCTGGGTCTCCTGAAAGATTCTAAAGCTGTCCCAGTTTGGTTGCAGCTGCTAGTTCCTGGCAGAAAACAGATGAAATTTCTCTCTAGAGTAAAACACCTCATATGTAGGCCCTTGGGATTTCTAGATTAAGATCAATAATTCATGACCTCACCATCATGACTCACTAGATTGTGCAAGGAAATGATCAACCATGAGTGAGAGTCTACAGAAACAACCGTCATAGATTTAGATCTACAAGGATACAAATATTGGAATTAAAAAAATAAAACAAGCTGGGCAGGGTGGCACATACCTGTAATCCCAGCTACTTGGGAATTTGAGACAGAAGAATCACAGATTTGAGGCAGCTTATTGCTCTGGGCACTTAGTGATTCCTATTTTCTGAGAAAAGATTTCTATATGTAGTTCAGGCTGAATTTTAACTTACTATGTAGTCCAGCCTGGCCTCAAATTCGAGGCAGTTCTCCTCCCAAGCTCAGCCTCCCCTATATTCCACTTTTTAAAAAGTTCATTCATAGTTTGTTTTTGTGGTACTGGGGATGGAACCCAGGACCTCATGCCTTGTAAGCTAAGCTCTATCACTGAGCTACACCACTGGTCCCACTGCCGTGTGTGTGTGTGTGTGTGTGTGTGTGTGTGTGTGTGTGTTTTACTGGGGATTGAACCAGGGCCTTTGCGCTGAGCTCCCCAGCCTTATTTATTTATTTATTTTTGAGACAGGTTCTCACTAAATCACTATGTTGCCCAGGCTGGGTGTGAATTTGTGGTCCTTCTGCCTCAGCCTCTCAGAGTGCTAGGTCTACAGGGTATGCCACCATGCCCAGTTTTACTTAGCTGTTTTTAAATTTTATTTAAAACAGAGCTTCAGGGGCTGGGGATTTAGCTCAGCGGCAAAGCGCCTGCCTGGCAAGCACAAGGTTGTGAGTTCGGTTCCCGGTACCAGAGAAAAACCAAAAAAAAAAAAAACAACAACAAAAAAACAAC